TCGTATATACATATATATGTAGTATTCAAGGCTATTTTTCTTCTTTTTTTTTTGTAAATAATACTTTGATTAAACCGCTTATCAATTTTTCATATCAGTTATTTACACCTCCCAGCCCCATTACATGATCAGCTGGGTAACTCATTCCACTTGCTCTTAAATTATATCAACTTTAAGTACTGAACTTATTTAAATTAAATTCATTCATTTGTAAGGGCTGGTAGGTAGGAGGGGAAGTTGACGAAGCGTCAAAGCGAACTTATTGTGATGTCGCCTTACGCTTCACTATGCTCAAACGAAAGGCAGAGTGTCAAAAGAAAGCAGTAAACGGAGTGGAGTACTTTTGTTAGTGAGTTAAAAAAGAAGAAGATTTAATGGGTGATAAGTAAACCGAGAGCACCGAGTAAACTTTGACGCACGTCAACTCACTGCTCTGAGTGGATACAACAATTGGTGCAAAGGGAAGTGTAAGTTTAAAAGCAGATGGCATTTATTTACATACATACGTATTTGGGAGGTGGCAGGAGTATATACTCTGCACTAACTAAATTGGAAATAACAGCAACTGTAAGCAGTGAACAGCGTAACCAAATGAAGCATCAACGTTCGCGACGAAGCGTTAAGACGCGAGTGAGTTAAAAAGTCAAGTTAGGGAGTGGCAGTGCGATATTCATACACTGCTGGGGTGCAAATACAAGCAGGAAGAGATTTCAACAAACAAACATTAAGGAATGTTGTTTGCTGCTGGCGTTTTGGTGTGCAAAAGAGGCGCGAGTTGCCGGTGGGAAACCTATGCCGACGCGTGACAACTTGACAACGCGCGAGTCTCGGAATACCGCACCGTTGGCAACACGAGGTTTATAACTCACCGCGACAAGTGCAGTGAAACACAATCAGGAAATGACGGAGCGACGGTAAAGGCGTAAGCGGATAGGATTACCAAGATGACAGTGAATGGCTGAAACTGAAGTTGTCGCTAGCAAATACACAAGATGACTACGCTTTAAAGTTAAAAAGCGGAAAAGAAGAAAGTTTAAAGTTATTTTGCAATCGGTTATTTATTTGTGTATGCTTGTTTGAGATGCTAACAGAAATGCTGCTCAATTATTTGCAGGCAAAAGTATTTTTGCTGCACATAGGCGTATAGCTAACGAAATTCCATCCGAAATTCTGCATTAGAATATAGTCTTTCTGAAAGACACTTGAGTTATGCCACCCATAATCAGAGTTCATGCTCTCCCCAATAAAATACTTACGTGCATGAAGTCTTATAAGTATACATATATGCCCAAAAGGTGCTCTGAAACGGTTCTAACGAAATTTTATGAAATTTTGTATGCAGATAATGTTTTGCACAGGGTATGAAAATAACAGAATTTTTTTTTTTTGACCAAAATTACTTTTAAGGCCGAAATAAAAGTCCTTTCCTAATAATGAACAAACCGCTTATAAATATTAAAAAAGTTTGGTATGTTGAATGAAAGAGGACTAAAATAGCGTTGAAACTAAAATGCCTAAACGACGAATGCCAACCATTGAAAAATATTTCAATGAAAATATTATTTAATTAACATAGAACAAAACTTGGGTCAAGTATATGAATTTCTTTTGTATTATATTATAAAAAAAAAATTTAAAAGAGGCGCAAACCTTCGGTCGTTATTTCTGTTTAAAAGCTATTTCCGTCCTCTTTCATTTGATAATTATACGGCAAGGACCTTTATTATAGACTTCAAAAATATTTGGCGAAATTTAGCTGTTAAAAAAAAAAATAACTGTTATTTTCGGTATCAGGTTTTGCATTTTAAAGTCATCTAAGTAGGTGTTACCCCCGAGCGAACACGTATAAGGTTGCCACCTATTCGAAATTTGTTACAAATCATTTAAAACATCATAATATGGGTATCAAATGTAAGGTATTTCAAAAATACCCAAATAAAAAATATTTTTAATAAGGTTGCCACCTACTTTGAATCGCATATTCTTTTTTGTAGAAAGTACAGGTCCAATGTTACTATTCATGGGTACCCAGAGAATGTTCTTAAACAATGCTTTCCCTTTACACTAAGTGTTATCCCTTAGGAAATTAGTTTAAGGTTGCCACTTATTTTCGATTATACACAATTTATCTAAAACATCGCAATATGGATGTCAAATGAAAGGTACTGGTGAGAACATTGGTCAAAAAATATTTTCGTCCAGAGTTGCCACGCTTCTATGTAATGCAATGTTTTATTTTGTTAATTTCAATCAGCATTTTTTTTTTGTAAGATATGTACTATTCATTCCAGCGTATTTCAAAATAGGGTTGCCACCTAAATTTTTAAGTAACAAATTTACTTTGTAGATAACAAAATCGAAATGTTTTTAAATTTATTTTCAAAATATTTTTTTTTTAAAGCTATCCAAATGACCAGTATTTGATACACAAATCTTGAAAACTTTAAAAAGAATTTGCAAAGCTCGGTCACACAAGAGTTGGAAGAAGTTTATTAAAACGATGTTCTAGCGGCGATTAGTTGAATCAAACGTTGGCTGCCCCAACGTCATTGGAAGCGATTAGCTGAAAGACCGTTCACACAAACTTTCATATAAAAGTTGCCTGTAAAATCGCCTCATATAAACACCGTTTTAGCTTTAGATTCAATTGATTTAGAGACAGAAAGGATTTCGGCCTTAAATATATTGCGGTATTCTAGAAAATTGCAGCCAGAGATACCCCCTCTGTCATTCATTTTTAAGAATAATTATAGAAGTCGGTTAACGTGTTCCAAAGTTATGCGGTAACATACATAAGAATCAAGAAATAAAAATATTCCGACGAACTGATAACCTTCTCCTTTTTGTGAAGTCGATTAAAAATTAAAAATAAACATGATTTTTAAGAATTGCGCGGAGGAAGGATCGAACCAGGGTGCTACCTGAATTAGTGTGGTGAATGCACAACCGCTTATGTACAGATCTCCAGCCTATTTTTGCATGTTCTCTGCATTCTACGTTAGTTTGAGAATTAACTCTAGGCCTTAATCTGCATCAACTGCGGTGAACTCTCGAGATAATTCCTAATTAACCAGTTGATCTGGATAAACGCTGCCGTCTGTCTATGCTTTTACCTTCGTTGGAACGCAGGGGTCTCGCATGTAGCGCTACAATAACATATCATATAGCATTCATCTTCAATTAAATTTATGCCTAAACTTCTAAAATAAAATTAACTTTTTTAAGCCAATTATTCTTTGCATTTTTCTTTTATTTTAGCACCAACTGGCAAGCCAATACCCACCACCGCACACAACACCTCGTCCACGTCCGTGTACATATCGTGGAAAGCACCGCCGCCGGATACCATACTTGGAGAATTTCTTGGTTATCGGATAACGTATCGGCCGCGAGATCGAAATGATACCAAGGAGATTTACATACGCGACAGCACCGTTGAGGTAAGTGAAGAAGCAAAATATATTTTAAGCAAAAATAAATATTAGGTACTTAAAAAATCATTTTAGAAAGCAAAATTTGCTAGAGCAATAAGATAATCGCATCGGCTTGAATTTCGCAAAACTTAATGACGCGCAACATGCAACGCTGCTTTCACCTCACGAAATAGAACTATCACTCAACCGCTAAATGCCAGCCTTAGGTTATTGTCATTCGCATAAAACACACAGCTAACTAACCGCCATGTGTGGATGTACGATTATCGCTTGATGAATGTACATACATACGAGTATGTACCTACGTATGCGTCAACACGTTTCATTGTAGTACGGCACATTTGTCTGCATTGTCTTTTGATCTACGCAAATCTATGCATGTATGTAGTTAGGTACATATATCTTCACACACATCTCGCGCCACATTGCCTCGTTTATCACCTGTGCTTCTAACCCACGTCCGACAAAACGTATGTACAACCAAGCTTCGCGCCGGATTGCTACAATGTCATTTATTTTCATCTGATTGCCATTGTTGGTGTTCCTGTACCCGAGCCCGACGGCGTTGGTGTCAGTTCGTGAATGTCTGACAGTTTGGCCGAACACACAAACAAGTATCTACCTATATATACCCACTGGCAGAGACCATTTTCAGGCCTTTACTGAGTGTAAAATTCCCAGATTCGCCGGTCACACGGAAAGCGACTATGCAACCATGAAACCCTACCCGCCAGGCAATCTAACAAAAACATGGAGATTTATACGTATGTACATATGCATATATCGTTTACATTCTATAAAGGCCTACAAGGATAGGTCTGCAGCAAGTGGTTTTCAATATTTTAACCTTACCTTATCCTGATGAAATAACATTTACTTAAGGCTGGTTTTCACTATGTCATATTTTGACAACAAAATTGTCAATATATTTTAACACAACTTTATCTCCTTTCCCCAAACCTTTACCGATTAGATTGTGGGCCAAAAATGGATAGATAGCTAATTCAGCAGCACATGTAAACGACTGAAAATCCCTATTCTGATCTAAATCAATCGATAAACCGATAAATTGTAACTGTAAAATTCCAAAATGTTCAAGTACTGCGCTAGTTTTAACAGAGCCCGTTTTACCGCAGGGTTCTCACTAACCCACACACAAACACACATTTGCACACATTTACTGCCGTCCAGTGTTCTGAGCTACCATCTAACGCGGCCGTTACTGTTGCTGCTATTCCAGCCACAATTGTCGCTCGACCACCAACGAAAGGCCCAAAACTGTAAGTTAGCCAAAAACGATACTGTCACTTCCATTCTCTGCTGCCACCTGCCTCAAAGTTTTTGTTGTACTTATTTTGTACTTTCGCGCCCTTCTCTAAATATAAAGCCATTTCGCCCTTTCGCCCTTTTGCCCTTAAGCCCATAGCCTAAAAAGTTTTACTTATACAATTTCCGGTGTCGTTCGTTCGCCTATTCGCCAGCTCATGGGCTGTATCTATAAAGTTGTTGTGCGTGTTATTGTAATAGTTTTGTTGTAGCAATCTGAATTGTTCTCACACTTGTTGTTTGTTGTTGTTTTTATTGTTGTAACAGCTATTGTTTTGTATTTCATTTTGTAGCAGCTCAACTAGCGCGATGGCTTTGTGAATTTCTACTTTTGTACAGTTGTTGCTATTTTTGCTGCATTTGACTGCCTTGCTTTGTTGTTTGGGTATTAAAAGCTGCTGTTTTTGGCATTTACGTTGACAACTTAGTTAAATGCCCTGCTAAGCGCCTAAAAATGGCTAAAAAGGCTCATGTTCCAAATATTAAACGGTAATTTACGCCTATCTCGTAAAATCGCTGGCAAATCCAATCGTAGTCGTTAGACACGCAACAAAAAAAGAGCACGAAAGGTAAAGGTGACAGAGCTACTAGACTATTTACGGATAGTGGTTGAAAAGAAAGATTTTTTTTTTAACTGACATTTAAATTATTTGGCATTATTATCTCTTTGTAAAATGCATAAGAATTATATGAAGGCTTTAAAGTGAATGACTTCAATTCTGCGCCCATATAAGGAAGTCTGAAAATTCTTTCAGAAATTTTGAAGAGTTATATACGTATGCCTGTTAAACTAATTCCTGTAAGAATTAGAATAACAGACCGGTAACCGATTACTAATACACGTTTTAATTGTCTTTATTAGTTAGTACGAAAATTTTACGGAATTTATTTCGGGCAAAAATGCGCCGAGTGTTGGTTGTCAACTGCGTAGCCGTAGGAAGTTTATTAGCATAGACCATTAACTTGACTTACCCCCACAAAAGGTGGTCTTAAACGGTGCTTAAGTTAGTTTAGTTTGATGTGTCAATCGGTCCAATGACCAACTCACTTAGACCTTGCAGGTCCATTGTGATACCACTGTGAAACACTGGGAACCTCAGTGACTATTCTGCATAGAACCATTTGGAAGCTCGTATGAAGCGTAGGATTGGTTTTATTCCTACACCGGATAGTTCCGTTAGAGAGTTGAAAAAGTACCTACCTAGAATGACCGCTCTGATCTTAGCTAAAGCTGGGCAGCTGCTTAACAGTTACTTCTTCTTCCTCATCTCTGCAACTTCTGCAATATTTATGCGAGTATATTCTTAATATCGAAACGTGCCTGCCAAATAGCCAGCGACCGGTTACACTAGCCATGACCATCGAAATGTCCTGAGGCGGAGCAGTTCTTCTGTTACTTTTTCCTATCAATTTGGGGCCATAGTAGCCTAGTTGTTGTACAAGTGCCTTCAATGATGTTATTTCTAATCCTTAATTTGGAGATTGTCATGGATATTCCAATCTTATCTGTGCTTTCACACAATACCTTTCCTGGCTAGCTCACCGGCTCTGCACTCTCCTTCAATATATCTATGTCCCGGTACCCGTATGAGGCTGATCTTATAGACGGTGCTAATATCATTTAGTGCTGCCAGGCAAAGCTGTGCAAACTTTGATCTTAGCATTACCGCTTTCGTTGATTTGATGGCCGCCTGGGTGACCGAGAAGATATTAATCGTAGTCTTCGCAACAGCTACTAGACTAGACAGCATGTGTATTAAGGTACACAGCCACCCCTTTTTATAGCAAGAACTTCTGCCTGATAAACGCGGCAGTGGTCCGGAATTCGGGCGAATAATTCCGGTTCTAATTATTTAGAGAAAACACCGTAGCCAAACTTGTTGTCTAGCTTGAATCCATCGGTGTAAAACTTTAGTTTCCCCTTCTACGCGGTCTTGGTGTTTGCTACTCTTTTCTTTACAGGATGTTCATCTTAAAGGTGGCCTTAGAGATGCAGTAGTCGATTTCTGGGTTATAACTACCTATAATCTCTCGCCATTCCCGTTCTTCTATGTGGCGTAGAAACGTGGACATGGATGAACAAACATGAGAAGACTTTAGATGCTTTCGAGAGAATTATTCGCGTGGATGACGTATACCGAAGAAGATGGAATGACGAACTGAATGGCATGGATATGTGAAATTTAACGACATGGACATAGTTAAGCGCATAAAAATACAAAGATTTCACTGAATTAGGCACTGAAGGAATCCCTCGACTCGGCATAAAATAAAAGAGCGCCCACGAACACAATGGAAGGACCAAGTACAGAGATACCTACAACTGGCGCAATCCTGTTATACTACATATAACTCCTATATAACAGAGTTAATAATTTTCTTTAACAATATGTTGTAGGCTGACATATCTAAGGCTCCATGAAATTTATGAGATACATTGCCACAAGTCTCCTGAAGAGATAGCAAAGTCATTGTGCAGCGTATTTAGGATTTAAAGTGACGCTCTGTTTATTGTGAAAAACAAGCAAATGCGATTAGAATTTCTGAAATATAATCCTTGATTAGTAATTGCTTTATGCACGTGGAGAATTCTATGTAGAATTTTCTCTTAAATATTAACACAAACAATTTTGTCGCTTGCTAGTCTCAGAAAATCATAAATTCCGACACCATTTTGCTTCATTGTCTTTTCCATTTTTTAAGCGAATATTTTTTACCTTCAAAATAAATTCCTGCACCGTAGAAATATATGGCTCAATTTAAATTTCACTACAGAAAGAGAAGTGAATAAACCCAAATATTCTAAATTTAATACTTCTTCACCAACTGGCTGCGCTTCGACGGTAAAGTCGTATGCTGCAACGGCCGCTGTTGCTCTTCCGCCATTGCGTTTATGTACCACGCTTTGTTAGCGCCTCCCTTTCCTGTAAGTGCTGATTTTTTTTCCATTATTTGCTGTAAGTGCAATTGCAAACTTATCGTTCTTACAATATAGTACATATACCGAAAATTATCAGCGATTATACTCACGTACGAAGGCAGACGCAGCAGCGGCGTACGAGAAAGCGCGCGCGTAAGCCAACGAATGTTGAGCTGTCAGTATAAATATACATACATATGTATGGATGTTGGTATGTATGTATGTAGAAGGGCAATGGCAATGGCGCCATTGCGCCAATGAACACTTCCACCGCCAAACTTGCGTGCTGGAGCAACGAAGTGCAACGGCATAACGCTCCCAAGTGCATATTTTTCGGAAAAGCGCACACTTATCGCGCCTTTAGCGCACGCTTTTCATTTTTCCATTTGCTTACTGCTTTTCATACACAAACATGCATACATACATATAACTGCCTAAAAAATACTACTTTTTTAGTTCTCATACTATTTGATTGTTTGCGCCCTTTTGCATTTGTTCGCATTTTTTTTTCTGCGAGGCATTTTTTGTAACCGTTTTTTTTGCTAACTTAGTATTCTCTTTTTATTTACATAACACTTTGATGCTGAAATATTACCCTGCGAGGCGAAAACGTGCAACTTCAATTTTTTATCGCAACATTTTGTTCCATGTGATTCGCAGCGTTGCGGCACACAAACGCGTGCACGTAAGGCAAAATGAAAAAAAAAAGAAATTAAATAAATTTGGACGTGTGCAACAAAAGGAACGAAATGCCACTTTT